AGATTTCCACAAAAACAACAAATAATGACAACTGAATATCAGCATACATCATTTTAAGCAAGATACCATATTTATAAGGGCTTTTAAGTGCCATGACTATGTGATTTAAAACAAATTACCAGAAAATGCATGTTAAAATAGCACAAAAACATTCCTGTCTTCATAATTTGGCAGTTAAATGTTTCAGCCAATATTAGTCTTCATTTCGTAACAGCGAGCTTTCTCTTTAGTAGCTGGTACAATCAGCCCCTGCAACTATCCTTACACAAACCTGATTTTAATCCTGCCCAAGTCCTTGAATACGCTACAAGTCTTCATGTGATGGCTTGGTGCATCAAATTATGTCTTTTACAGCCCCTCTGCCCAGAGGAATCTCTGGCAACCCCTCTTTCCTCTAAGGGCCACAACAGGAAAGGAGTTCGTTCATTTTCCTGTCCTTTCCTCATGCCCTGAGCCACGCTGCCTTCCAGGAAGAACCTGCAACATCTTCTCTGGAGTCACCCTGGTCCTAAGCAACACTCCAGTCTACCCAACCTAGCACCTACAGGGGCTCCTTTCTCTGTCCTTCTCCTGCTTGCAGCTCAGCAGACTTCAGCCTTTCACCGCTTGACATGTAGGATCAACTGCAGTGCTCAGAGGTGGAGCAGGGATGAGCTCTGAAGAAACTGGACAGCTGCAGGTAATAGGGTGCTCCCATGCTTTCATCTAAATAAATCCATGGCAATTGCATTCTAAAACTGCTGAGAGAGTCACTAAAGCTGCAAAACCATTAGGAAATGTTCAAACTCATCTCACTTAATACTGACTACGGGTTTTCTACAGCCCACAGGAGCCAGTTCTTAATTACAGCATTCTGGGTTGTGGGTGCAGAGGTGGGGCTGAAGTATCACATAAAGAGTTGGTAAGTCTTAAGTAGGGAGTTATTTAAAAAAGAAGAAAGGATTCAGAAGAGCTGACCTGGTAAATACTGAGCTGTCTATGGAGGCCAGGCAAGTGAGGACATGCAGGGTCCCAGCAGGCAAGGCCACCCTGGGCACACGGCATCCCCATAAGTGACCTCCGAGTTGCACCATGTTTGTGACTGAATGTCGACGCAGGGCACAGATTTCTCGGCTGCCACCTCCAAGTCTACCACAACCAAACTCTTTGCAAACGTGGCTTTGCTGCTGGTGGACTCATCCTTCCGAAGCCGGCTTGGCGGCACACGGATTCTGGCAGCGGATCCAGGCTAACAGTGTAGCTTCTCTCCTGGCATTGCTCCAGGAACCTGGCTCCCAGTTAGGAACCCTACAGCAGACTTAAGCATCCTTCCTCCTTTCTGGAATAAGTGAACTGATCACCTGCAAGGAGCAGCCTGCATGTGTACGGCAGAGCACTTTGCCCTGGGATCTGCTCCCGATGCCAGAGCACGGGCTCCTCCAAGCCTGGCCTTCACCACTCGGAACAGTCCTGGTACTGCTAATTTCCCCGGAACGCTATCGGAGCGGTGGCTCAAACCATCAGCCCCAGGCTCAGAACCTCCCCAAAGCCCAAGGACCTTCCCCCCTCGGGTGCTGAGTGTCAACTCCCGGCGGGAAGCGCAAGGATGTGGCAGGAATTGCAGCCTGGGAGCACTCGGACTTAAAGGCTTCCACTGAGCACCTGCTATTCCAACAGCCCTCCCACGGACTCCCAAAACCAAAGTTTTGTAGCACTACAACACGTATATGTTCATTAAAGAAAGTCTATACTAAAGAATGCTTATATGTGAAAGTGTATATGTTTATTAGAGAATAACATTTACTATTTTAAGTTGTGAACCTATTCCCTGAAACTTTTTTAGTTAATTCTCACTTTAGTAATTATATTCCTCTTTCCTATTCTTCTTCCTTTTAAATATATTTTTCTATCCCCTTGCAAAACTGTGAGTTGTCCTCTCTTCCCTCTCTTTTTCTCTTAAACATGTCAAGCGGGAAAAACAAAATATTGATTCATTCAAACAGCAATTTAGTAAGGCTATTTTTAGAATTGTTCTTTTAGGAGAAGTATATAAAGAATTAGGTAATGGCATACAAATTCTGCAATATTACAGTATGCAATTTCTGTAAAATGCAAATGTCTTGTTCATTTAGGCAGCAGATTTGGCAGACCAAAATTATGGGAACTTGTGCCAGATGACACCAAATTGAAAACATGTAACATGTAACTTCCCATTGCCAACAGATCAAAGTTTTAGTATTTTAAATCAGTAGTGCTGAACTTATTTTCAATTATAACACAGTCAGCAGAAGCACTCTGCACAGAAATTTGACTTCCATAATAACCTCCAGCTCTGCTTTTTCCAGAGCATCCCACCTCTCACATACAATTTGTTCTTTTTAAAAAAATTCTGCCTCAGTTTACTCACCTTTAACTTCTTAACACACTTCTGCAGACATTTGATACACTTCAGAGTCTGGCATTAAGTGTATGGTATATACAAAAGACCCAACCGGTTGGGTAGAAACAATCATGTATGAATTCTCCTATAATATGCATTATTACTGATCAATTCAATGCCTTTCCAGAAGAAAAATAAGATATAAGGCAGGTAGGACATAGCAGCAAGCTGGGGGCCAGTGACACAAACTGGGTAGATAATAGGAAAAGATACTGGCCTACCATCAGCCTTCCCAAATCTTCAGCATTTCTTCATCTGATGGCTAGGGCAGCAAAGGACTATGAGGAGGTGACAAAACTTGTGCTTGGTGTTGCAAAGTAACCAGAGCAGTGAAGAACCCAGAAAAGAGAGTGGGAGCAAAAAAACTGGGGGGATACTTACTCTCACTTGACATGGGAAGGTTTGGAGCAAGGCTTGAAGATTCAGGTTTCTGATCGCTGACCTCGGTGTTGCTCACGTGACTGAGGGGATAACGAGAGGCTGATCGTTAGTATTACAACATCTCTGGGCATCTTCACCCCCAGTTTTGGCCCTCCTAACAGAGGCAGAACCGACTGTTAACAGAAATCAGCTGCATCCTGGTCCCCTGTACCAGCCCAGACACCCTTCAGGCTCTTCCACAGGAGCTGAATTTGCTAATTTAGCACAGAAACCCTTCAATTATTTTTGCTGCATTGAGGAGGGATCCAGCAAGCAACACCCATGGTGGTAAGGGTGGGCTATGAGCAGGCACTCCCCCTCTCAGCAGCAGTGAGTTATTACATTGGTGCTTTCACCTCGTAAAACTGTGGTCTGGGCATCTGGGTTTTATTCTAATGGTCTCAATAACTATAATGGTTCTATGACAACCTGCTCAAAGATGTCCAAATATTGGCCTTCAAATCCAGCAGGCAGACAGCCCCCCGACTTGCTTTCAGTGCTAGCAGGTGACCAAACTTCCCTAACCAATTCTGAGTTTTGCAAAAAGAAATACCACATTGCTATGAAGACAAGGTATCTGTCTACCACTACTCTTGGTTAATTAAAAAAAAAAATCCTGTGCTCACATAGCACAATTTGTGGTTGCTAAATTGCATGCTGTTTGCAAACAGCTCAAGCGCTGTACAGCTGCTTGTCGTGATTTCTTCCTGGGGAAAACCTCACAGATAAAATAATGCTCATGATCGCACTAGATCAGCCCATTTCTCTGCTCTTTCTCGCTGCTGCACCCACCGGGGCTCTGGGGACCCGCTCGCATCCTCTGCTTTGCGGTCACTGACTGCAAGAGGAAAGCTCGCTCGCACCGTGGCTGCACGAAACCACCGAGAATCTTCTGTGGACTAGCCTTAAAAGCAGAGCTCATGCCCTTCACAGTGGTTTTAATACCTTTTTAGGCTGCTGGATACTTAATGTTCCCAAGAGAGAACATCCTCCCTGGCTATAGCTGTTCCTTTTCTCTCTGCCACAATTCGACTAAAACAAATACAGCCAGAGTGACCTTGGCTGAAAATCATATTGCTATGGAGAAACAGATGTAATAAATCACTTTGAAATATTTCAAAGGTCAAACTTAAAATCATACATAATGTTTCATCAAAATACAGCAGCAATACCTGAACAGAATGACAGCTGAATTAGGATTTTAATGCACAGAAGGGGAAGCTCCACCATCCACTTGTACATGGTCACACCTGCCTGGGGCGCCCCTGGATCCTTTAGGGTCAATAAATCTCCAGCCAGGATCATTTCACCTGTACAGCTGATCTCATCTCACACAGCCTAGAAGGGAGGCTGGGAGTAACTAGCCCACATTTCCAGCTTATAGACATCTAATGAATGTCAAAGAAAAAAATTTCCACAAGAAATCTTTCTTCAGGAGTATATGTCCTTCTACCTTATTAAAAAAATAAACTCTGAAGGAGAATAAACCCTAATATAGACATTCTCTCTATATACATAATATAATGTACATAATAAGCAAATAATTAGTGATTAATGCCTAAACATAACACACATTAGAAAGCCTCAAATGGAAGAAATTGTACAATTTACCATTTTTAAGCAAAAGATGCTATCAAGTTTAGAACTTTTAGTATCTCAAAAGTTATTCATGGACTTTTGTTGAGAATCACAGCTCAGATACTTGTGTTATTGGAATCCTCCAAGTCTCACTGGAATAAATGCATGTTACACATGTTGTACATGAGCTGCCTCATCTGATGCTGTGAAAAACATGATGAGCAATGATGTAATTAGAATTCTTTGTAGCCCCTTTTATAAAAGCTTACTATCAAAAGGACTGATTAAGCTTTTGTATTCAGAATTCAATCTCCAAACTATACCAAGCAAAAAGTTTCCTCTATTTCTGTGAAAAAATACAGTATACAAGACTCTAAAACTGGAGGCTTACCATCAAAACAGGACATATATAACTGCTGCACACTAAAATCCCATTCAGAATTACACACCTTAAGCTTTGTTCTCTGGATTCTTGCATCTTGGCTTTTTTCACCTGCAAATAAAGTACAGTCAGAGACAAAACTGAACACAACTGTCCTTGATATAATCTATGCACACAAATGCCAGGCTCCCATTAGCAGATCATCACTGGTTACTATAGAGTTTGCATTAACGTTTAAATACAGCAGGCTCCGCATTGGAGTTAACCAGTGTAGCTGCTGGTTCTTCAGATTAAAACAAGCCTTTTTTAATTAGAATGCTGCTAGAGCTGAACGTGTTAGCAAAACGGCCATGGTTTTTAAATAAATAACAGATGCTGGGATATACAGCTCCAGAAGTTTGATAAGGGCTGTTCTATGGAAATTGAATTAGAGCCATGAATTTTAAGAAAATCCTATTCTGCGTGGAACAAGTACAATTGCTATGAACTGGGGTCTGCAATCCTTCTCTATTTAACTATTCTAAAGATAGGAAATTAAAGATTTTTTCTGTTCACATCAGTAATAAATTATGGAACAAGTACAACTGCTACGAACTTGGGTCTGCAATCCTTCTCTCTCTTAACTATTCTAAAGAGAGGAAATTAAAGATTTTTTTCTGTTCACATCAGTAATAAATTAGCAGTTCTGATTTTAATTTCTGAATAGCACCAATACAGTATTTATTGTATCCTTGTGGTTGGCCAGCTGGCTCTCTTCTTGCAGAGAGTATTCCTACAGAAAAACATTGCCCTGAACACAAATCCAGTTTCTTGCTTCCAGGCTACAAATAGGACTTAGAAATCCCGGGCTGGAAGAAAGGATTAGTTATTGCGCCCTGTAACCTTTTGAGCAAGATATTCCTGTAAAATACTCTTTTTTCCACCCTTCCACCCCTCCTCACACCCGCTGCATCCCCCATGTAGTTCATACCATCTCTTTAAATTGCACAGAAGTGACTCACACGCCAGAAAAAAGCAGCATCAGACAGCTCAAATCTAAGCTATTTTGGAGCAACGGAGCCAACATTACTTTAGAATTGGCAGATTGAATTTTAGTTTCCACAAACAGCACGGGAACCAGTGCAAGGCTGCTATTGCAAGTCAATTTTTTTAACAGGAAAAATCGGAAGGGAAATCAGCTCAACTAAAAATAGCAAAGATGCATAAGGTAAGGTCAATTTTATTAAAATTTTCAGCGGGTTCAGAATGGAAAACAGGAAGAAAAGAACAGTTGTCCCCAAAACACTTCTTGATAATCAGGATTTCAAATGGAGCCTTGGCTCTGTTTTGGAACCAGGAGTTGAACTTCTGGCCCGATGAGCAGCCCTGCGGTGCCATCTCGTGCTTCTCTCTTGGGAAGACTTCCCTGCTCTGCCAGGACCATGGCCACCCTCCACCACCCCTTTTTTACATGAGTTTTACTTTAACTCAAGAGCAAATGTCATAAAAATGTGAGAAAATATCAAAAAAAAAAAGAGTTTCATTAACCCTTTAAAGCAGCCAAGAACATGGCTCTGGGGTTGCTAAGTGTAACCCATAGAACGGGTCAAGCAAACCAATTTCTGATGGCCCTGCCTCAATCTTGTATTGGGCTCCCTGGCTATGCAGCTTTGCATTAAAAAATAAAAAAAAAAAGAAAAAATTCATTAGGTCTCTATGGTAAGTGATAACACTTATGAAATCTTGATATTTTGGTGGAATGCAAAAATTCTATCCTGCCCATCACTAATTTTGTTAAAAATTTAAAGTTGGTGAGGGAATATTATTTTTTTAAATGATCAATACCCTGAGATGTTACGGGCTCAGGAAGGAGCATTATACTCCCAAGTGAGCACTGTACCCAAAACCTGACTGGGGTCCCCTTCTCCATCCTCTCCTGCATAAGCCTTAGGAAACCACCAGTCAGCTCCTCTCAACACACACTTCACTGACAACCTCCTCGAGAGGATTCAGATGCCATCAAGGATCTAAGGTGACAGGACCACAGTTTGAAGACACTTTTTTTTGTGCAGGAAAAGTGAATTTACTGCTTAAAAAAAACCCAAAAAACCACAACTTACCACAAAAGGAACTGAAAGATGTGGTGATGCAAATTTTAGCCTTACGATCTGACATTATTTCACTAAGCAAGGCTTTTGCTTCACTAGAGTGAACGGTACTTTTAGGAACAATTTCAATCTTTTTATTTCATTATGAGTTGCTTTTTTATTATTAAATCTAAATAAAGCGGCACCTTCTATCTGACCCCTGCTCCCAATCACTAATTTCTATAACTGAAAATGCCCCTGCCTGAGTCATTCCACAGGCTGTAAAACTCCTGTCTGCTCCAGGCCAAGCCTACCAAATGTCAATGCAGTTTTAATAAAAGAGTGAGAAGCAAAGTGAGCAAAAACAGGGTGAGAAAAAACACACACAACTAGCCAAACACACACAGTAAAACTTCTAGGAACACATAATCTGAGATTGTGGCAACATGGTTGTGAAGGGAGGATTGTGTATCCAATTAGGAATGGAGAATTTTATTGCCATCCTTTGCCCATTTAAAGATAAAAATTAAATGTCATCGCAGACCCCCAGCCCTCATGCTCTGCTCCTCTGGTAGCAGTGCCTCTTCCTGGAGCTCTTCCACCACGGCTGCCTCTGCCTCGGAGCTGCTGTTTGCCATAAGCAGCCATCCCGGACAGCAACACGGTGGATGTCTGCAAGGAGCTGCCAGCATTGCCCAAGAACAATACTTAATAAATAAAACAAGTTTCGACAATTGATAATGAAATTTACTTCAAGGTATTTGAGTTGAAGCTTTTTAATGCAAGTTTATTGTCCCTGGTTAAAACAGAAAGGCTTTTGTCATTGTCTGGCATTCAGGATTAAGTTAGTATTACAAGTCAATTATGTTCACAACGTATTTGACAAATGAGAGAATACTATTAAGGATTCCTTTTAAAACTAATCCTCAACAAGACTATCTTTTTCTTTTTTGGCTACAACAAAAGTATTGGCTCACTTTCCCCATTTTTTTTCTTTGCTTTATCCCTTCCTGCATCTGTTTCTATTTTCTAAGACCATTTCTACATGTAAACTTTCCTATTCTAATTCACACCTGAAAAGAAGAAACGGTCAAAAACAGGGACAAAAATGATATGCCTCTAAAGACTGTAAATACTGTGCTGGGTAAATGAGAAACTTAACATTCATTTAGAAAAGATATGTTGTGCAAATTTGGACCACATCAACATAAGAAAATGACCTGTTTTTTTCCCTCCTTTTTAAGTAAAATATCTTTAAGACAGAGCCTGAAAACTTCCATAACAAGTTCCCTTCTGGATTCAGTTATCAGCAGTTTGCAATATATGTTATTTTCTCTAAGTAATACACTAATCCTGTTGCCATGATCAAAACAAGCAAAAATCACTTCATGAAGAAAATCAAGTTTGTATGATGCAGAACTACTAGGCAGAAATGATTTTGCAAAGCTAATTTACATTCTCTGTTCTCATTTGCAAAGTTAACTTGTTCCAAGAAAGGTCTAATTCCCAAAAAAGCATAAGAAAAAGATAATTCTTGGCATTTCCTCCTGCAAGAATGTCCAAGAATATTAAAAATACCACATCATTTAACAGTTGTAATCAATGGTGTCTCATAATCTGTCGCAGAATCACTTGATATCTGATTCTGAAGAGCAAGTAGCAAGAAAACTTTTGGTAGAATATTACAGAATAAGGTGCTTATAGAGGATGCTTTCACTCACCAAAAATGAGTTGTGCCCTATCTCGTATCTTGAAGAATAAAGGTTTATACAGATAGCTTGCATTATATAAGGAAGTAAGATTGCCTTTCAATCCCACAAATATCTGCAGTTCAAATTCTACATTTTTGCTGGTTACTCTCACAGTGAGTCTACATGCACAAGACATAACTTGCATACTGTGTAAAGTAATGTTTTCTTTCAGTAATTTGAGATTTATCTTTGCATTTCATTCAGCTGTGTTAATGACTCATAAAAATGCATAAATGAAGTTATGCTGTATTGCCTAATTAGTTAACTGCAGAACACAATACTGTCACAATTAGAGCAGCCTCCAAAGTTTTCCAGTGTGGACACTTCCAGATATCTTTTAGCATGCTACTGTTTTCATGTGCATTTAAAAATATCTAAAACTTCATCTTTAGACTAATATAAGCACGTGTTATGTTTGCCTCAGATTTAATTTGGAATATAATATTAACAACTTTATGTTTGAGCTGCCTTGCTTAAATACTTCATCAAAGTAAATGTTTTAACTTCATACCACAATGTATTAATATTCTTCCCCAAACTTATGTGACATTGATTTTTATATTTATAATTATTAGTTTATTCATCACACTGTATTTCAAAAATTTGAGATCTCTGGACAGCAATTTTAAATTTAAAACATACCTCTCTACTGGAATACACTTTTAAATTAAGGAATTTAAAAACTGTTCTCCAGCAGTGGAGAAGATGGTATTCTTGAGATCACAGCAGCTTCTCAAGATCCTGAGCACAAAAAGCAGCAAAGATTTTGTGTTATAGTAACCAATTTCCTTATTCTGTCTGTCAAAGACAGAATGACTTTTGTTGGATGACACTTGAACTGTTTTTTTTTTTTTGAGAAAAATAAATCATGATTAGGCATGATTTTAAATGGAAACATAGAATTTAAATATATCAACCCATCCCTTTTATAACTATTATTCATACTATTACAGTAAATCAAATGTACAATACATTTTCCTAAAACATTTTATTATATTTATCTATTTATTTATCAAGAGGTGAAAAATAAATCAATCTTATTTTCCAATACTAATGAAAATAAGTGGAATTTGTGAGGTCTCCAATTTGTTCTATATGTTAGGTTTGAGTATTTTTACATGTACTTACTGGCTGTTCGGGTAAGTCTTGTGGCTCTTCCATGGGTATTACTATTTTAAGGCTTAAATGATTCGAATGCGTGTGTTCCTCGGCAGTCTTCAAAGCCTGTCAAGAAAAGGTGTTCATAGCTTATGTACTTTTGGGGGGGCTTATCATTTAGGCTATCGGGGAACATTAATTGTTATGTATTCCACCCACAAGCTTTCTAAACTCGTGTTGTCCTCTCCCAAGTAAGAGACAAAATTCATACATGGAAAGAGTTCATAAACAAGGGATTTAGCTTTAAGCTTCAAGACATAAGCAGACCTTTTTACGCACATGGTACATTACTACATCATTTACATGTGTCACACAACTACCAAAGCTAATGTATCCATCAAACACGTGCACGAAGATTTTAAAGGCACTTTAAACGATCAAGTCAGGTCTACTAGGTCAGTAAACAGAGTGATTCAGTCTAACCTGTTTTAATTTAGATCATTTATATAACAAAAAAGAAATCAGGACAAGAGTCTACACCTAAATGTATTTACAAGCAGTACTGTTTATTGCCCAGTCTACAAAGCTCGCTTGTTCTTTCGATTACACCTTTCAGAAAGTAAAAATTGATGAACATTTCCTTCTAAAATAATAATTAAAAAAACCCAAATAACCCAAGAACCAATCAGCATAGAGATCTTATACACTGTATTAAACTGCTGCTAGACCCCAGCAAAATCATGAGAAGGAAATTTTGCAGAAGATTACTTTCATAACCTTCTGAATTTCTAGGGTCTGATGAACGTCGGCATCGCTTCAAGCACCACTTTCTCCAAGCTCAGGATCCGTGCATTCCTACAAGAAGGAAGTCAAGCAAGGGGGGCAGAAGACCTGCGTGGATGGTAAAGAGCTCTTGGGAAAACTTACAGAACAAAACAGAGCATTCGCAAGCTGGAAGAAGGGTCAGATCACGTGGAAAGAATATAGGAACATCGTCAGAGAATGCAAGGATGCAACGAGGAAGGCCAAGGCCCATGTGGAATTAGAGTTAGCAAGGAATGTCAGGGATGACAGGAAAGGCTTCTATAAATATATCAGCAGCAAGAGGAAGACCAGGGAAAATGTGGGCCCGCTGCTGAATGGGGAGGGTGCCGTGGTGATGGAAGGTGCAAAGAAGGCAGAGATACTAAATGTCACCTTTGCTTCTGTCTTCACTGCTAAGGCCAGTCCCCACGAACTACTGAGCCCGGGGACAAGAGAGAGAACTGGGAGAGAGGAGGACTTTCCCCTGGTCAAGGAGCATTGGGTTAGGGATTATTTAGGCAAAGTGGACACCCATAAATCTATGGGCCCAGATAGGATACACCTAAGAGTGCTGAGGGAACTGGCGGGGGTCATTGCTCAGCCGCTCTCCATCATCTTCGAGAGGTCA